GAAAACCCCGAGCTTAAGGTCAAATCGCTCAAGAAGTTATACCTTGATAAAAAGTATATTTTATGCGAGCTGTACTAGAAGTTTCCTGATTTCTTCGGTTTTAGCAAGAAAATTAGTCACTTGAATCATTAGTTTAGTTACTAATAACAATTTATGGATATTTACATATATAAATAGTATTTATTTATTTATTTATTCCGAAGAGTTTAAGGACCGCAATGCGAACTTAAGAAACACCTTTTGGACACGTTCTAATCTATTTATGAAAGTTTTTGTGGAATGGCCTCCAAATAAAGGCAGCATATTCCAAAATGGGACGAAAAAAAGATGAGTATAATAATATAATTGTATAGGGATCAGAGAATTTTACACAGTTCCGCCTCACGAAACCCAAAACCGAGAAGGATTTAGAAATCACAAGATTAATATGCCTACTAAAAGAAAAATTTGAAGTAAAAATGACGCCAAGATCTTTGGCCTCGGCGACAGATTCTAGCGAAGACTCCGCGATTGTATAACTCGGTGATAAAGCAATATGAATTTTTGCAAAAGTTACTTTAAAGCACTTTTTAATGTTTAAAGAAAGGCGTGATTTTATGCACCAAAGATTAAGATTATTAATATCGGCCTGAAGCAAAGTAGCATCCCTTTCGATGCTTATCATCGAAAATACTTTCAGGTCATCGGCATATAGCAAACAATTAGCGAAAGAAAAACATGAGCTAATGGCATTTATGAATAATATAATAAGTAAAGGACCTAATATACTTCCCTGGGGTACCCCAGAGGAGGTAATGAATGCATCTGACGAAATGCCATCTATCGAGACAACACAGCGCCTGTTGATCAAGTAGGATTTAATCCACTTCAAAAAAACAGAATGGAAGCCAATATATGCTAACTTATTAAGTAAAATCGAATGAGAGACTCTATCAAAGACTTTACTAAAGTCCGTATAAATACAGTCAACCTAGAAAGCAGCAGAAAAAGACGTCATACAGTATTCACAAAATACAGCTAGGTTAGACACATAAGATGCATACATAGTGTGCACGAAATACGCAAAATATTCGCATCTCAAAAGATTTCCCCTCATACTCCTGAAACACTCTCATAGTGGATGTTCAAAATCGCTTGGAACCAATTGAACTTTTTTGTGATACGACCTAATATATAAATCTGTGTTCGTATGGAATAGTAGCTTATGACCAAAGGCTGGCTTTAGTATAATGCGGCATTCCCTTTATTTTTTAAAAGACAAAGAATTTTTTGATGAGACTTAATAAGAATATTTTCTTGCTAGTATCGGAACTATTTATTGCACATTTATTTGCCAAAAGCTCTTCGGCTCAAGTGAGTCATTCGCAATCATATGCTGCGAATGCCGCATTATACTAAAGCCAGCCTTTCGACATAAGCTACTATTCCATGCGAACACAGATAATATATACACATGCACATAAATGTATAGATGAATGCATACCTTGCAAACCATTTTTTCAGAGTATTCTGCATTGCAAAGAAATTTTAAAGAACTCGTTACGATTTAATTCGATTTTTTGCCGTATTTTCTAAAATGAAATAAATTACGCACACTTCCATTCTTTTACGAAATTTCGGAGGAAAATCTGTGAAGCAACGAAAATCTGAAGCAAAAAAACAGAATGGAAGCCAATATATGCTAACTTATTAAGTAAAATCGAATGAGAGACTCTATCAAAGACTTTACTAAAGTCCGTATAAATACAGTCAACCTAGAAAGCAGCAGAAAAAGACGTCATACAGTATTCACAAAATACAGCTAGGTTAGACACATAAGATGCATACATAGTGTGCACGAAATACGCAAAATATTCGCATCTCAAAAGATTTCCCCTCATACTCCTGAAACACTCTCATAGTGGATGTTCAAAATCGCTTGGAACCAATTGAACTTTTTTGTGATACGACCTAATATATAAATCTGTGTTCGTATGGAATAGTAGCTTATGACCAAAGGCTGGCTTTAGTATAATGCGGCATTCCCTTTATTTTTTAAAAGACAAAGAATTTTTTGATGAGACTTAATAAGAATATTTTCTTGCTAGTATCGGAACTATTTATTGCACATTTATTTGCCAAAAGCTCTTCGGCTCAAGTGAGTCATTCGCAATCATATGCTGCGAATGCCGCATTATACTAAAGCCAGCCTTTCGACATAAGCTACTATTCCATGCGAACACAGATAATATATACACATGCACATAAATGTATAGATGAATGCATACCTTGCAAACCATTTTTTCAGAGTATTCTGCATTGCAAAGAAATTTTAAAGAACTCGTTACGATTTAATTCGATTTTTTGCCGTATTTTCTAAAATGAAATAAATTACGCACACTTCCATTCTTTTACGAAATTTCGGAGGAAAATCTGTGAAGCAACGAAAATCTGAAGCAAAAAAACAGAATGGAAGCCAATATATGCTAACTTATTAAGTAAAATCGAATGAGAGACTCTATCAAAGACTTTACTAAAGTCCGTATAAATACAGTCAACCTAGAAAGCAGCAGAAAAAGACGTCATACAGTATTCACAAAATACAGCTAGGTTAGACACATAAGATACATACATAGTGTGCACGAAATACGCAAAATATTCGCATCTCAAAAGATTTCCCCTCATACTCCTGAAACACTCTCATAGTGGATGTTCAAAATCGCTTGGAACCAATTGAACTTTTTTGTGATACGACCTAATATATAAATCTGTGTTCGTATGGAATAGTAGCTTATGACCAAAGGCTGGCTTTAGTATAATGCGGCATTCCCTTTATTTTTTAAAAGACAAAGAATTTTTTGATGAGACTTAATAAGAATATTTTCTTGCTAGTATCGGAACTATTTATTGCACATTTATTTGCCAAAAGCTCTTCGGCTCAAGTGAGTCATTCGCAATCATATGCTGCGAATGCCGCATTATACTAAAGCCAGCCTTTCGACATAAGCTACTATTCCATGCGAACACAGATAATATATACACATGCACATAAATGTATAGATGAATGCATACCTTGCAAACCATTTTTTCAGAGTATTCTGCATTGCAAAGAAATTTTAAAGAACTCGTTACGATTTAATTCGATTTTTTGCCGTATTTTCTAAAATGAAATAAATTACGCACACTTCCATTCTTTTACGAAATTTCGGAGGAAAATCTGTGAAGCAACGAAAATAATGCTGCTATGTGAAGAATGTCTTTCAGAATTTTCTTTATTTTTCGTACAGAAATTTCTTTACGAGTTCGTGTCAACCACTTCATATAATTTTCTTTGAAAATTCGTAAAAAAATCGTTACAGAAATGAGATACTCCTAACGATTTCCTTAAGATTTCGGGAACTTTGGTTTGCAGGGTAAACATTTCCATATAAATAAGCGTGTATGTATTTTTAAAAAACTAAAAAATGTTTTCACACTTCAGAGCGTTTCTCGTTGTACTTTTTCTGGACAACTTGACGCGTTAACTACTCCACAGCAGCTGACGTGCTACTTACGTAACTCTCCCGCCCTGTTGTTGTTTGTCCAAAGCGGAAATGGCAGAATCGCGCTTATTTAATTTCGGTTTTGTAAACAAGGACTGCGTTAAGGGAGCGAAATTAGGTCGTTTATATGGCAATGTAGAGACTTAAAAGCGAAGTCGACGGCAAGATAGGTGGGGATTTCTTTGACAGCAAATAGAGGAGGAAGTCGGAATTTCCGCGAGGCCTGCACCTTTAAAATGATTGAAGTGAGCAACGTGCGAATAATGTCTTTTCAACTCAGTTATCATATTTATACAATACATATTTATGTACTCGCGTACATAAATATGTATGTATGTATAAATATTAACGAGCTTTGTGGAATATTATTTTGCTGTGAGGTAAAAATGTGAAAAACATGCTGAGCGTACAGAAAGCCAACAATGAGGGAAAAATTTGAATGCCAACTGCAAAATTGTAGCACCCCGCCAAACAATTAAAAATAGTACCCATTTGCTTATATATATTTACAAGTTTTTCCGATACTTTGAATATATGTAATTATTATTATTATTTTTTTAATATGTTGTTTATTCAATAACATACGCCATATACATAATACAAGGCTTCAAGCTTTGTGAAAAATTCACGGATATTTAATGAATTTAAAAATTGTCTTAAAAATTTAAAATTTTTAATTCAGAATATTTAAACAATTTTATGATATGCGGCTTTTTACCCCGGCTTTGGTCTTCCGTTTTATCTTAAGTCTTGCTATGAGCTTCGATAGTGAAAATACACGTTATTTTTAATATTTTTATTGAGCTTTGTACCACGATTGTTTATTAGGAAAAATTGAAAAAGCAACAAAGTCTAAGCGGTAGAAGTTATAGCACTATTTCGGAGATCACCACATCTCCTCATCAGACTTCTTTTTCTAGACTTCAGCAGGGAAGCTGCTGAATGTTAACAAGCCACAATAACATTGACGAAAATACACGTTTTATTTCTACTCTCGGAATTTTATACCGACATTTGGTTATGGTCCCAGCCCACAAGTTAAATAGTGATTAAATAGTAATTGCGGCGGTCCAAATAGACAAATTGGATTAATTGAACAATGAAAACTACGATACCTGCAGCGTTCACATGTTTTGATAACAGTATATACAGTAATAAACCTTTTTGAGTACTCCTCGGGGGTAAAATCTGATCAGGATTGATAATGAGAAGGAGCATGAATTTTGCTGATTCCGAGTTGCATACAAAATTACTGTGGTATGAAAGGGAGCAACAACCGTACTATGGCAGAGTGGCGCAGGTAATTTTGTAAACAAACACTTTTCTTATAATTTTAAAAAAATAATTGCTATTTATTTTCCAATATTCAGATATCTAGCTTGTAGTCAGAGGCAGTGTCATGGGAGGCTCACTAAACTCTACTCCTCATGTTGGAGGTGCTCCGAGTAATGGACCATTGAATGTTTTGGCTGAACTTATGACCACCATTACCAACGCAGTCTCCAAGCAAATGCGTGTCCTGAATTTATACGGTAGCAATTTATAGCAATTGCTATTGTATGTGTGTATTAGGGTGATCGGATCTCATAGAGGGGGGAAAAAATGTCGGAAGTTTTGTTCGTCTGGACCCCATAAAACGGTTACCTTTTCCAGATATTGAGATAGCCGAAATTTGAACTCGATTAATCAACGTTAACCCGTGCCGCTCGTCGCTCAGAGTTTTGAAAAAATCCAAATTTTTGGTCAAAATGCTGACCTATGGAGCCATAACTTCAGAACGGTAAATAATAAAACCACGCCTTATATCTCAAAAGAAAGCTAATGTTGTTCTTCAAAATTTATATTCTATACATAGTTGTTGTTATTTTAAGTCAAACCGAGTTACAACAGTATTTATCCTCAAAAAACGTGACATGGTACCAGTAGGAGCCAGTTTGGGAGTATTCTAAGAATTTTACGGGTTTTTACATAATGTGTCTCGCAATAAACATATTTGTGTTATAAAGTATTTTGGAACACAATTTTCAAACTTAAAGAGCCTTTTGTTCAAATTTATTTTATTTTATTATATGGGGATTACCTGGCTAGTTTAGGAAAGAAAGACCCGTTTGCCAGGTAAAAAGAAGGATGAATCTAATTTCTATTTTAGGGATGGTGATTTTACTTCAGCTTACAACCGACCTTTTATTTATTCAGTTTAGTTTCTAAAGTGCCTTTGAGCTGGTTAGATCGAACAATTATCTAATGAAGATATTTTAACGTTTTTTTTTTTTTTCAAGTGTGTGTATTACTGTTTTTATACCTCTTATAGTTATTTACCTATTGGACTCTGAAATGGCATGCACATCAGGTGTACAAAGCCGGTCCAAAGATAAAATATTACTTGTGGGCTATCCCATTCATCAGATCACCAGTTGTAAACTACCCTAAAATCGTCAAGTTTTGTGAGTTTGATTTTATAATTTACATGCTGTGAAATTAACTGTAAGAGGATCAGCAAAACTTGCCATACGAGAAGTGTTAATTTTTTCGGAGAAAGCTCGAATCGTGACTAAATATGAACAAGATGCAATTACTATGCTGGAAAAGCTTTACTCCGAGTGGAAAACTCTTCAAAAAGACCGGAACAAAACATCGGAAACGGTCAAGAACAAATTTAAAAGTTGGTTGAAAAGTTGGATGATCTCTTTGATATTGCTCAACAAGATACCTTGGCTCTGATGAAATCGGAAGAAGATAAGGCGTTTCTTGTGAAACAGAGGCAAAGGAAGAAATCAAGGTGCAAAAGGAACTTGCAGAAATGAACCCTCAAATCCAAGAAGAAACTTATGTTATTGGCGAGTTTTTTTATTATTATCATTCTAAAAAATAGATAAGTAATAGATAATACGTATTTTATAAATAACAGGTACCTATTGATAATTAGAATTAGGTAATTTGGTACCTATATATTATTACTATTCTGCTAAAACGACAAGTTTTTATAGTTTTTTTTTCTCTTTCCTTTGTTGCTTCTTAGAGACGTATGATGAAGACAAGTTCGAAGAAGGAGAAGAAGGAGAAGAGACTGAAGAGAACAGCATCTACCAGAAACTTGGAGCTTGGAGGAAATGGGCATCCCCGAAGAAGCTGTAGAAGATCCAGGACCATCTGAGAGCAAGAGGATGAAAGTTTCATTTGCAAGGGGCGTTAAAGAGATTTTAAACATGAAATTATCCATTCTGTTAGATCGATGTAAGGTATCCGACAGAAATGCCACGGGAATTTTAATAATCTAGAATCACTAAACCTTGACCCTCTTGAGTACAAGGTCTCGAAAACTTTTTTTACATTATAGAAGGCAAATGTTCAGAGAACGATATACTAAAAAAATCTTTGATAAAGTGAAAATTCCTGAAAAAGAGCCCGTGGCTGTCCATTGGGACGGTAAACTTTTAACGGGTATTTTAAAAAATGAACAATGTGAGCGAATAGCTATATCTATTTCATATGGCGAAAAGGAACAGCTCTGGAAAGGAGCAAGCCGAAGCCATATATGAATGCCTACATGAATGGGGTCTTCTCAACACCGTCAAGGCGATGTGCTTCGATATTACAGCATTCAACACGGGAAGACTCAAAGGAGCATGTGTCATATGGGAGGAAATATTAGGAAGAGAATTGTTATACCTAGCTTGCCGTCACCATATCTTGGAAATTCTATTAAGAGGCGTATTAGACACAAATTGGGATCAACCACTGGACCTCATCCAGACATTTTTAACAGATTCCTCACTGCGTGGCCCAAGATAGACAAAGGAAAATACGACACAGGTATCAGTGACAATCTAATACAAAAGCAGCTAACTCCAGAAGTAATTGCAAATGTTACTGCTGAATTCGAGACCAAATTAACTGAAAACCAACCCCAGAGATGACCACAAGGAGCTGTTGCAGTTGGTTCTCGTATTTGTTGGATCACTAGACGGCAATGTTGTGTGTTTTAGAACTCCAGGAGCCACTCATCACGCCAGGTGGCAAAGGCTATTTACTGCTTAAAAATGTTCATTTTTCATGGTCAATTAAGATGTCTAAAGAAGAAGAAAGTTCTGTGCGTGCCATTTCTGTTTTCTTAGTTAAAATTTATTGTAAAGCTTGGTTCAATGTTGTCCAAATTTTCGAATCATTTGTGGTGTTTGAATGCAGAGTTGGTGGGATTATCTTTTTTTGATCCCACCATTACAGACGATGAAAAGTTGTTTATGGCTAATAAATTGCTCAGTAGCACAGATGAACCATCAGAGCACGCTATGGTTGAAAATCCAAAAGTTAGGGAAGAAAAATTAAAAGAGGTAGTTGATGAAGGATTGGTAAATTTAAAACGTTTACATTCCTTGACCGATTTAATATAAGAACAGACTTCCTAAGACAACATCCAAACACTTCGCCACAAAATAATGACTTTCAAGAAGGATTGGAAATTGCCAAAACATTAAAAGTAATTAATGATATGGCTGAGCGTGATGTTAAATTAATAACCGACTTTAACAAGCTTCTGGCAAAAGATGAAGGCCAAAAGCAATATGTCCTGCAAGTAGTAAGCAAATGCCGAGCATTATATCCTGAAGTTTCAAAAACTAGTTTAACAAAAGCTCTAGAATAGATTAGATAACTATGTAAAATTATCAATTCAAGTAGGTACTATGTCTGTATCTTTTCTGTGTCTGTTTTGTATGTATTATATACCTGATTTTTATATATTAAAGTAAAAAGTGTCATTAGACTTATTAGTATTACTTGTTTTTTTCATTACATTTCTACTTTAAACTCAAAAATATACCAAAAAAGCAAAATTTATCACTTTATAACAAAGTATGAGATGTATGCTCCTATTGGTACCAGGTCACGTTTTTGAGGCTAAAGGCTGTTGTAACTCGGTTTGACTTAAATTAACAACAATTATGTATGGAGTATAAATTTTGAAGAGCAACATTAGCTTTCTTTTGAGATATTAGGCGTGTTTTTCTTATTTACCGTTCTGGAGTTCAGCTTTTTGACCAAAAATTTGTTTTTGTTCAAACTTTTTAGCGACGAGCGGCACGGGTTAACGTTGTTTAATCGAGCTCAAATTTCGGCTATCTCAATATCTGGAAAGGGGAATCGTTTTGTGGGACGAACAAAATTACGACATCGATATTTGGCGATCACCCTAGTGTGTATGGTTCATATTTGTGACATTCTATACTTTGATGTTTAGTATTTTTGAGGAGTTCCGCTCAAACTTAGGTGTGCTTAATGAGCTGTCTGGGCGGATGTGCTGGCAGGCATTGGAGTCTCTATAACTAAACAAACCTTTTTTTTTGGAATAAAGACTTAAATATATTTGGAAATTTAGAGTTTTCTTTGATAAATTCACGTTTTTTCATAAAGAATACGATGTGAGTTTCCAGTTTATAGACACAAGCGTCAATTATGTACTTAACTATTGGTATTATTCTTAATTAAGCATTGATACTATACTTAACCTTCATTTTGTTCATAAATAACACAATTATATATATTTAATCCTCGTAAGACTTTTTCTAATCATGAGGCGCAATTCCCCACAGTAGTGTTGCCGTGTGCACAAAACGAAAACGCCGCACACAACCCAAAAGTACTCCTCGGGGACCAATTGGTGAAAAACTACGAAAAGGTTTATTACTGTATATACTGTGATCAACACATTTAAACGCTGCAGATGTCATCTGCCTCGGGAGACTCGGACCACAATAGCCCAACTGCGCTCTGGTTACTGCAGCAGGTTGCACTCATACCTGAGCAGATTAAACGAAGATGTTCTTAACGAATGCCCGGCATGCGGAGAGTCGCCCCATGACTCACAGCATCTCTTCATATGCCCTCTAAATCCCACCTTTCTAACGCCCCTGTCCCTATGGACAGATCCCGTCGAGGCTGCACTTTTCCTGGGGCTTCCGCTAGTAGAGCTTGACGACAACGATTGAGGGACTAACCGATCTGGGCGGGGTTGTTGTAGCCGCTACCACAACAACAAGATTCGTACATTTTCACAGTTACTTAGAGGTGTTGTTTGGAAAGTTGTTGTCAGGGACCCAACCAGTTATGACTTTTATAATAAAAGTTTCCACAATAAAGTTATTTTTCGACCGTTAAGTAATTGGAAAAAAAACTACAGGAAAATTTTAACTTTTATTTTTTCATTCAGACGATAACAGTTAAACCAAATACTTGTTTTGTCAAAAATAAAAGGATCGGCCTAACAACGAAGAAGGGGAGTCATCAACTATGGATTCGAAAGGGTAGTCCTTAGGGTCTACCAATCCGATTCCAGGGGTGATGGCTCTCAACCTCCTGAGGTGCCGGAAGCACGTGAGCCCGCGGCGGAGGAAGCCCCCATGAGCATGGAGGTGGAATCCGTCGTGTCGGGGGCGGAAAGTGCTGAGGATGCCCTCTCAACGGAGGGATCCGTCGTCAGCATCGGACGGTTCTACGACAGGGCGGAGGAAGAGAGGCTCTTAGCCTCAGTAAACGAGGACGTCGAACTGGCGTGGCTGGAGCGGACTTTGGAGGATGAAGATCCTGCAAATAAACCTCCAACATTCTAAGGCGGCGTCCGCAAATCTCCTTATCCACCTTGAGCAAGGTGGAGCCGATGTAGTCCTGATCCAGGAGCCGTGGCTAAGCAGTAGCGGTATCTCCGGGATCAGGACGCCTAATTTCAAGCTGATGGTGCAGAATCAAGCAGGTAGACCAAGATCCTGCATGCTCATCAGAAACGAACTCAAAGCACTAATTCTACCTAATTTCAGCAACGAGGACATTGTGACTGTCAGCCTGGATAGCGGTGCCGGAAAGCTCTGGATCATATCCGCTTACATGGCTCATGATGACGAGGTGGAACCACCTCCATTACTGCTGCGTGAAGCCATAGCCGAAGCGAGGCGA